GAAGTCCGTGCTTCAAATATGTCCATCCTTCGGGTAGTGCGCATTGCACTCCTTGTGTATACAAATACCCGTCCCCTCCTCCCTCCTCCCCCCTCTTTCCCCCTCTCTTTACATATTTTTATTCTTTTATCACATCCCTTACTTCTCCCTACTGAGATGCATTAAGTTACTTTGAGCAATGGTCAATAATCCCTTTGAATTGGATGGAGCTACCTATCAAAAGTCTGAGCTGAGGAAAATAATGTAAATAAAAGCAGAGATCATTTAAATAGAAAACAGAAAACAACAAAGAAAAAAAACAAAACAAAAATATGGTTCCTTGAAAAGATCAGTAAAATTGATAAAACTCTAGCCAGAATGATTCAGGAGAAAAAAGAGAGAAAACACAAATTAACTGTATCAAGAGTGAGAGAGAAGGCTGGGCGCGGTGGCTCATACCTGTAATCCCAGCACTCTGGGAGGCCGAGGCAGGAGGATCGCTCGAGGTCAGGAGTTCAAGACCAGCCTGAGCAAGAGTAAGACCCATCTCTACTAAAAATAGAAAAAATTAACCAGGCATGGTGATGTGCACCTGTAGTCCCAGCTACTGGGGAGGCTGAGGCAGGAGGATCACTTGAGCCCAGGAGTTTGAGGTTGCCATGAGCTAGGCTGATGCCACGGCACTTTAGCCCAGGCAACAGAGCAAGACTCCGTCTCAAGAAAAAAGAAAGAAAGAAAGAAAGAAAGAAGTTGATTCATAGCTAAAAACTTTTTCACAAAAGAAATTCCAGATGACTTCATTGGTGAATTGTACATTTTACATTCCTATGTTTGATCCATTGGTAGTTAATTTTTGTAAAAGGTATGAGGTTTAGGTCAAGGTTCATTATACCAAACATTTGGTGAATAAATCATAACAATTCTACAGGATTGATGAAGGCACCAATTCACAGATTCAAAAAGCCAACCAAATTCAATCAACAATGAAAAATAAAGCAATCTAAACCTAAGACACACATTAGAAAAACTGAACAAAAATGAACTGTGATTAGGCCATTAGTGCTCATTTTAATTGTAACTATGAAAGCCAGAGACAAAGAATATTTTCCCTCTACTAAAATGAACCTCAGAGAAAGAGGCCAATACACAGGCAGAAATTGAGAAAAGAAAAAGAGGGACAATATGAAGGAGTCCTTTTGTACTGAAACAGATTGTGGCTGAGGTCAGCACTACCTTATTCTTTTTATGCTATTTTTTTTCTTATTCTAGTTTGAATGGGGTTCCTGTCAATGACTATCAAGAATCCTAAATAACAGCCTTAAAAAGGAAGGAAATCCTGTCATTTGTGACAGCATGGATGACCCTGGAGGACATTATGCTCAGTGAAATGAGCCAGGCACAGAAAGACAAATACCACATGATTTCACTCACTGGACTCTACAAGAACTGAACTAACAGAAGCAGAGAGTAGAATGGTGGTTACCAGGAGCTGGGAGTGGTAGGGTGGGTGGGGAGACGTTGGTCAAAGGATACAAAATTTCAGTTAGGAGGAATAAATTCAAGCCATCTATTGTATAACATAGTGACTATTAATAACAATATACAGTGGTGTTGAAAATCGCTAAGAGTAGATTTTAAGTGTTCTCACCACAAAGAAATGATAAGTACATGAGGTAATGCATATGTTAGCTCAATTTAGCCATTCCACAATGCATACATATTTAAAACATCATATTGTACACAACAAATATATACACTTTTTATTTGTCAATTGTAAAAATAAATAATTGAAAAAAGAATCCTGAATAATATTTCGTATTTCCTTATACATTGTTTATCTCTCCCACTACACTATAAATTTCATAGAAGTATGGACTATTATCTCCCTTGTTCATCACCAAATTCCCAATTGCCTAGAACAATGCCTGGCAAATAAGTACTTATTACACATTTGTTGAATAAATAATAATCTAATTAAATTGCACTCACGACACCTTTGTAATTGTCTATTTGTGTATATACATCATCAAATATGATGGCATTTATTATAACATTAGTACCTAGTGAAATGCCTAGCATGTGATGGGTGCTCAATAAATTAAATTAATATTAAATGAATAGAAACAATTTTTTCTCCGCAATGCAACCTCTATTTCAAACTATCCTTCATTTGAAAGTCACAGCTAATAGCTTTCAGAATTAATTTGATCTTTATATTCACCTACTTAAAACCTTTCAGTGATAATAATAGGCTTGTACGGTGCTCACTATATGGGCAGGCACTATTCTGAATGCTTTTTCACATAATTCATTTAATCCCCCATGACAACTCTCTGGAGGTGAAATTATCCTTATTTTGCAGATGAGGAAACTGAGACACAGAGAAGTTAGGTAACTTGCCTAAGATTACACAGCTAGTTGTGGTAGAGCCAGAATTCAAACCTGTGTGATCCAGCTCTATAGACCTTGCTCTCGACCATATTCCTGATGCCTCCAGTGGATCTGTATAGTATATGGTATAAGATCCAAAATCCTTAGGGTGCAAATGAGGCTCATTATAATCTCATCTCCAGGGGCTTTTTCTACCACTCTCTTCAATGAATCATAGGCTCCGAACATTATAACAATTTTACTGAATTTATTGCTTCCTTTTACAGCTGCAAGCCTTTGAACATAAGATGTCCTCTGTTCTGTTTACTCCTAACAAACTTCTATTCATTTCTTAAAACCTGGTTCCAAATGTCTTCTCTGTGAAGCCCTCCTCCACTCAGGCTCCCTCGTCTCTACTACTTAAACTTTGTGAGCTCTTATTATACTACGGTGTAATTACTAGTTTATATATGTTTTCCTTCTCTACTGACCTTGGGCTCATTTAGGGCTCAGCTCAGATATTATTTGTTTATACAGCCTCAGTGGCAAAACTAGTGCCGCCATATGTAAGACACTCAACAAATATTAAACAAATAGACGAACACTGAGTTCAACTTGAGTTCAATGCTCAAGATGTCTAATGAAACTTAGCCAACCTATCAGTTTGTCACTCACTATTTATCTAGTAATGCTATAAGAGCACTATTTCTTTTGCTTAGCTATTATCATAGTTTTAAATTTTTACTGGTCTCTGCCTTGTTTTACTTTATTCATAAAATACTGTTTTGACATTTACCACATTACACAAAGTTTCTGCCTTTCTCACTTGTTCTGTATAAGCACTTTGCAGGTGGAGGCCATGTCTTACTACCCCCAACAGGGGGACCCAGAGCTTGGAATATAATAAAGCCTTATTACATTCTTGTCAAAGTGAATATAATTTCAATTAGTTGATATGGTTAGGTTATCTGAGTGTGTATCTCCAAATCTTCTTCCTTTGACAGGCCTGGTAATTTTGTTGTCAGTTTTTCTTATGCCATTTATCCTCCCTATGGCAATCCCTGTATGTGGAATGTAGTTTCTTGGGCTAGAGATACGGAGAAGCAACTGTAGAAGGAGGTATATTTTCATTTAGTTTTTCACTTTTCCTACTACATAAACTCTAACTAGTTTGGGCAATTTAAACTTGGCTCCATACTATTGTCCCTGAAACTAAACAGCAACAGTAGATTCTCTGTCCTTCAAATTTTAAGACAGCAATGCTAATGACATGGTATCAAAAGAAATTATTTAAAAAGATTGTTATAAAATATTACACTCTACCTGTTGTTGAAATGCTCCAGTATGAAAATTTCGAGAAATAAAAATACACTGAGAATGAGATTTAATCTTCGCCTCTGATGGTCTTTGCCTGCATCTCTCATCAGTTATATTAACTTTGGAATTTTGAAATAATTCTCTGAAAAATATATTGTACAGAATATTATTCAACATGAATTAGATTATAAAGCAATTAAAATTGTTTCTAACATTTATACACAAAGGTTTCAAAATTATAATAAATACATTACAGTATATATACATTAATATATATATATATTTGGAGACAGGGTCTCACTTTGTCATCTAGGCTGGAATGCAGTGACCCAGTCATAATTCACTGCAGCCTCAAATTCCTGGGCTCGGCGATTTTCCCGCCTCAGCCTCCTGAGTAGCTGGGACTACAGGCATGTGCCACCATGCCCAGCTAATTTTTAAATTTTTGTAGAGACAGGTTCTTGCTATGTTGCCTAGGCTAGTCTCGAATTCCTGGCCTCAGCAATCCTCTTGCCTCAGCCTCCCAAAGTACTGGGAGTACAGGTGTGAGCCACCATACCCTGCCAGCATATTTATTTTTAAAAGCATAAATCAACTTATCTACTCCCTTCTCATATGTTAGATTTCATGACACCTATTTTATTCACAGAATGTAAATTAAGCTACTTGTACAGGGTTAGTATTTTCAGTTTGAATATTAAGCAGGAGTCTCTGATATACTTCTTTTTGCTTGTGAGAAAATTAATCAACTCTAATGTTAATTAGCCTTTTCATAAATTTGTCTTTAATAGTAAAGGAAATTAAATAAAATGCAACTCATTGGTCAATTCTGGTACTTGATAATATCTCTGGCTAAAAGTAAGACTTGAAACTAATGATTTAAAATGGAAGAGTACCCGTGATCTTTTATTAGCCATGAACCACAAACAATTGAGAGGGTTAAAAATAATAAAGCCCCAGTAAAATCTCAGCTGATCTAAGACAGATAGTCAAGTATAAGGGAATATAGTTTCAAACAGTCATTCTTAAGGATTTTAAAAATAATGCTTCCAGATGATAGAATATTGTTCAGCATTAAAAAGATATGAGCTACAAAGCCATGAAAAGACATGGAGGAAACTTAAGTGTATATTATTAAGTGAAAGAAGCCAATCTTAAAAGGATACATATTGTATGATTCCAACTATATGATATTCTAGAAAAGGCAAAACTATGGAGACAATAAAAAGGTCAATGGTTGCCAGGGGTTGAGGGAGGGAGGGATAAACAGATGGAGCACTGAAGATTTTTAGGGCAGTGAAAATACTCTGTATACTATAATGGTAGATATATGTCATTATACATTTGTCCAAACCCATATAATGTATAACACCAAGAGTGAACCCTAATGTAAACTATAAACTATGGGTGATAATGACGTGTCAATGTAGATTCATCAATTATAAATTCCCCTCTAATAAGAATAATGTTGATTGTCATTTTTTCTTTCAGAGGTACTAGAAAATTTCCAAATTAATTCAAGAGATCATATCATGTTACTTGATGAGGTATTAACAATAAGGATTCACTCATTCATTGAATTCAATTTTCTTAACAAATATTTATTGAGTACTTAATATGTGCCAGGCATTATGCTAGGTGTTGTATATATAGCAGTGGGGGGAAAAAGCACAGTCTACCCTCATAGAACTGTCATTGCTCCCATGAAGCTTACACATTGTTAAGACAGATATTAATAAAATAGTCACAAAAATTAAAAATTACAACTATGGGAAATGCTATCGAGGAATGCTATCTGGTACTGTGTGAGTATATAACAAAGGGAATTAACCTGTTTAGAGAGGTCAGGGAAGGCTTTCTTGAGGAAGGGATGATCTAACTGGACATCTGAAGAAAAAGTAGTAGTTTTTAGGTAGAGTGTGGTGGAAAGGAAAGATGTGAAAGTAAGACTATGGCAGGCAGAGAGAATATCAAGTACAAAGACCTAAGGGTCAGATTAGGACAGTGTAGCAGAAACACAGAAAGCAAGAGGGAAAGCAGGAGATGAAATTGGGGAGGATGCACAAGTAGATCGTGTAGACCCTTACAAATTTTGTCTTTATCCTAAAAGCAATGAGATGTCCTTTAAAATACAGTGGGTGTGGGTTAGAAGAATAGGGATCAGATTTGCATTTGTAAAATGTCTGGTTGAAGTGTGGAGAAAAGATTAAAGACGGACAACAGTGAAGGTAAGGAGTCAGTTATAACTCCCATTGGAGTAGTCTATGTGGGGCATAATGGTAACTTGGATAGGGTAGCGGCAGTGGTAATAGAGAGAAATGAATAGATTTGAGTGATTTATGAGGTAAAATAAATAGAAATTAGTGATAGATCCAATTTGGGGGGGAGGTGGAAAAGCATGCTTATCCAGCATGTTTTTCACTTTTTGGAAAGAAACAAAAAACCTTCCTTGACCCCACATTTTCCTCCATTTACTGCTCCATTTATCAGCTCCTCGTCATAAAAAAGAATTCTTGAAAGAGATGACTAGACTTGTCTCAATTATTTATTTATTTATTTATTTATTTTTTAATTTCAGCATATTATGGGGGTACAGATGTTTAGGTTACGTATGTTGCCCTTGCTCCCCCTCCCCCTAGACTTGTCTCAATTTTATCACTTCTCGTGTTCTATTCAAAGGTGGGCTTCTGAACCCATCATACCACCAAAACTGTTCATCAAGGTCACCAATGACATCTGTGTTGCCAAACCCAAACTCTGTCTTCATCTTTTTCAACTTAAGTGCCTTCAACATAGCTGCCACCACCCTCTTCCTGAAATATTTTAAAAATTTTGACCTCCTTGATACCACACCGTTCTGCTTTTCTTTCTTCTCAGACATTGATTCTTCCTACTCTTCTGCTAGATTTCAAAATGTTGGCGACAGGTGTAGATCCTATTCTCTTTCAACATTGACTCCTTGGTTAGTCTCATCCAATTCTATGACTTGATTCTCTCCATATATCAGACCTTCAGCCCTGACTTCTCTCCTGAAATTTATACATGTATATCCAAAGCCTATTTGATCTTTCCACTTGGATGTCTAATAGGCTTTCAAATTTACATGCAAAACACAACTCCTAGTTTATTACCACTCCCCGAAGTTTCTCCCTGCTTATTCATCTCGTCATCTCAGTAAATGGTTGAGCTTAACTGAGCTGAGAACGTAAGCTTTTCAGCTGCTTATGGTGAAGATCTAGGTGTCAGCATTAATTCTGCCATTTTCATCCAATCTGTCAACAAGCCCTACTAACTCTACGTGCAAAATATATCGCAGATCCAACCTCTTCTTTTCATCTCCTCTACTTCCATGTTAGTTCAAGACACTATAAGCTCTCACCTGGACTATGCAATAGTCTTCTCACTTGTCTCTCTCCTTTCACTCTTGCTCCATTAAAATCCAGGCTTCACAGAGAAGTAAGAAATATCTTTTGAAAAAGGTAAATCAGAGCTCCCATATATTGCTGGTGGGAATGTATACCCATCTTGGAAAACTGGAAGTTTCTTATAAAGTTAGTCATATGATTCAACAATTCCACTCTTAAGTATTTACTTAGAAGTGAAAACAGACATACAAAAGATTCATATAAGAATGTTCCTGGCAGCCATTTCCCTAAGAGCTAAACACTAGAAGTAACCACACTGTCCACTAACAATGTAATGGATCAACAAGTCAAGGTATATTCATACAATGGATTATGACTCATCAATAAAAACAATGAACTATGGATAAATGCAATATAAGTGAATCTCTAAAATATTACGTTGAGTGAAAAAAGCGGACATGCGACAGTCCACATGGTTCCATCTATATGAAGTTCAGGAATAGACAAAATTAATCTATGATGACAGAGATCAGAATAATGCTTGCCTTTGACGTAGGAGGTAGGGAATGATGCCTGGAACATGAGGGAACTTGCCAGGGTAATGGAAAAGTTCTATATCTTTTTTTTTTAATTTTTCTTTTTTTTTCCTCCTCCCTCCCCAAGTTCTAGATCTTGACTGGGGTTGTGGTTACATAGGTATGTATTTGTTGATATTCATCACTGTACACTTAAAATCTATGTGGTTTATTGTATGTATATTATACCTCAATTTTTAAAAAGCAGTATTAAAATGTAAAGCAGCTATAGGAGACAGTATAGAGTCTTTAAAATGGGGATAATATTAATTATACACCATGGGGCTAAGTCTTAATGAGTACATATGAAGCACTTAGAATAATGCCTAGCATGTAGTAAGCATTCAATGTTAGCTATTATGATGATAAGGCCATTCTTCCGTTTAAAACCTTCCGATGGCACAAATAAATCCAAACTCCCTGCAAATTCCTATGTGATCTGGCCCTTATCTGCCTCTTCAATTTCATAATTATTTTATTATCTCACTACTGGTGAGAGGGCTTCACATTGGCCTTCTTTCTGTTGGCTGAATAATGCCAAGATCATTCCCACCTTGGGGTCTTTGTACTTGCTATGCTTTCAGTTTAGAAAGTTGTTGCACAAAGTCTTCATATGTCTGGCTTCTTCTAATTCAGGTCTTAGATTTAATACAACCTATTTGTATAGGCATATCCTGACCACTTTATCTATTTTGTTCATTATCTATCCCCTGCCAGTGGCACTGCAAATCTATGAAAAAGAAACCTTGTTTGGCTTCTTCACAGCTGTATCCGCAATACCTAGAACAATGGCAAGCACCAAATAAATAAATAAATAAATAAACAAATTCACTGGAAGAACAAGTAAGTGATAGGTTTCTCACTTGTGCATGTGGATGGATAGTATGTATTAATTTCCTGGGAAAGAGAACATAGAGGACTGTATGAGAAGATTATGTTACGATTTACATTTTTTGAAACATCAGATGATGCAAATACTGAACTAATTAAACAATTAGAAACATGAAAGGAACTAAGATGTCAAATAATCTTTTTTTCTGTTTCTGGCAAGAGACTACTTTTAGTCCATACCAGGACATTCTGCCTGCTCTTTTCTTAAATATCTCCTAAAGAAAGAGTGTGTTTCCCTCTCAGTTTTTGGTTTTTTTTTTTAAGAGATAGGGTCTTGCTTTGCTGCCCAGGCTGGAGTGCAATGGTGTCATCATAGCTCACTGTAATCTTGAACTGGTGGGCTCAAGTGATTCTCCTGCCTCAGCCTCTGGAACAGCTGAGAAGTTGAGACTACAGGCATGCACTGCCCCCACCCAGCTAATTAAAAAAATTTTTTTAGAGATGGGGGTCTCAGTATGTTGCCTAGGCTGGTCTTGAACTCTTGGCCTCAAGTGATCCTCCGGCCTTGACCTCCGAAAGTGTTGGGATTATAGGCGTGAGCCACTGCACCTGGTCCTCTCTCAATAATATTTTTAACCTCTGAATTGGAGGTCAAATTTTTAAAAATTTTCTAGCCTTACATTATAATCAAACCCATGTTTTTGAGAAAATAAAATAGGTCTTATCATTCCTCAAAATCTTAATGCATGAAGATTGCTTTTACTAGTACTTCTCTTTTCAGGCTATTTATTTATTTATTTTTTTTTTTACGAGCCTTTAAACTACTTTTATTACACATGTAATTATCATATTATAACTCCCAAAGATTTTCTTTCAATTTGCATAGCAAAATATATTAATCAAGTTATCACTAACTTGAACTAAAGGGAGAAGTAAAGTTCTCCACCAGGGGATGGAGAAAAATGGGCTGTCCAGTGAATATGAGAGGCAAAATCATGAAGTAAAAAAACCTTATAATCAGGCTAACAATACTGACATTAGCATTGCATTATCTAATGTTTTAAGATGCTTGGTATAAATTTGAATCTTAAAGGCTCATATTAAACAATCTTGGATTAGGCTACTTCCAATACATAAAATAGCACTGAAATTCATTTTTTAAATTCTACACTTAGAGTTCTCATTAACTCAGACAAGTGTCTAATCCCAGCTTAGCCCACGATAACAATACTTCATTTGCTCTATCATTATTCTATGTGAAACCTTAAGCACATTTTTCAGTTTCTGTATTAAAATAATAAAGAAGCTACAAATAACACTACAAGAAATTCTGTACGAATATTTACTACGAGTACTTGCTAAAATAATAGCTGACCTCATTCACATGAATTTAATATAAAACTGCAAAAACACTTATTTGGAGAAATCAATGCATATAATAAACTCTTATTTGGATATTTAATAGCTCTTGCATATACATCAGTGTAAAATAACTCTATTTGTAATTCTGACCCTGAGGCAATGCCAAATTCTTAAGAACTTCCCAAATTATGTGTGTGCAGGTATGTATATGCATATATAAGAATAATCAAGTGTTATAGTACTTAGTGAGTTCTAACTCCTAAAGGTATGACAAGCATTTACTAACTTTTATACTCTAACTTCCCAATGATGCCACAGAGAGGAGTTTTAAGTTACAATTAAACAATCTAATCGGTTCACACTTCAATACTATATTATTGGTATATTTACTGTCTTAAAATTCAAATTCCAAAATATTATAAAGAAAAGACCTACCACAAAGCAAAAAAAAAAGCTAATTTTTGCTACTTGAGTTGCAGTCAGTTTCCCCACAGTTTTCAGTATGGATTCTTGTTCTTTCACAGTAGGATGTGACATGCGAGACAACTTCGCTTCCAACGCATGGCTTGATGGAAGCTGTCGAATCTCCATGATATTACTGAAACTTACACGAGACTTTTTGGGAGTTTTTTCAGTACCGATGTTTGTGCTCTCAGGTTTTTCACTTGGAAGATCATGAAATTTCACAGGAACATACAGAGGTTCACTCAAAGAACTATTCATAGTTGTATCTGTTGTGCAAGCAGCAAAGTAACCTTCAGCATCTGCAAAAAAGCAGCATGCTTTCCTCGAAATCCTCTTGTGCACTGTTGCCTCCATGGCTTCCAAATAATAAAGCCCAAAAGGTACAGAATGAACATAGATGTTTTTGCAAAGGTGCTGAAGAATGGTTTGTTGTACTGAGTAAAAACATACGAAGTAAGTTCTGAGGAGGCAACCCATATCACATCAACAAGAAGGAGAATAACAATCCCAAGGGCCATTCGCCTGCGCTGAGTGAAACCACTGTTCTGGGAATTCATTCGGTTCATGATAAATACACACACCATTTGCAGTCTTGTTTTAAAGGCCTTTCTGAGATCTTCAAGAGCAATGCCTGAAAACTTGGCAGATCCCAGTCTAAAAGGAGGTGAAGAACTCAGCACACCTGGCCTTCCTGCCCCGCGATGGCGTCGTGGCGGCACCATGAGCGGACCCGGCCAGGCCCCGCAGCCGCCCAGCGCCACGGCCGCGGCCTCGGACTGACAGACCCATCACGGCGCCTGACATCGCGCCGCGCTGAAAGCCCAGCTCCTGAAGCTGCCGTGCCCCTTAGGGTGAGGCCACCGACACTACCCAACTCCACTCGGCCCAGGGGGGCGGGGAGCGGGCGAAGGGAAGGGACCGCTCAGACAGCGATGGGCGCTGAGGCCCCTTTTCAGGCTATTT